AATCTGAAGTACCAAATGAAATACTATGAAGTGCTCTATAGAATACTCTATAGTACCGTGACCTGAACCCAGTTACTGTTGGCTCCATCTGGGCCTGATCAGCTGATCTCTAGTTCAGAATCTGGACCGGTTCTGCTTGGCTGATGGTTGAAGACGAGGAGAACCCACGGTCCAGTCTGTTCTAGCAGGTTGTCCAGGTCCTGAACCAGGCCCAGATCATCATACTACCACCGCCCTGTTTGACTGTAGGCAGTTTTACTCTGGATGTTCTGGTTTGTCTTATCAGTGGACAAAACATTTCCCCTCAAAGTCTCTGAGCTCATCGAGACAGACAGACCTCTGGGTTCTGTTGGCTTAGCAATGGTTCTGCTCTCAGGTGTCCTCTCCTCAGTTTCTTCTTCTTTTAGTTGAATCCATAAGGGCTGCAAAAAGATATATTTTTAATCCAGTTGCCAAACTCACCCAGAGCCATAGCTCTGTTGAACCGTCCATTCCACCTGCTCTTAGCAGCAATGATTTTATGGGATTCTTTATAAATAAGATTGATCTTTTTAAAAATAAGATCATTAGCACTCCTCTATCGATTGGTTTGTCTCTGGAGGGGGGGGGGCAGCATCTGAGGTAGTGATGGAATCTGAACCGGGTTTAGACTGCTTTGATCCAGTTGTAATTTGCTGTAATTAAACCTCTGCTTAAGAAACCGTCTCTTGACCCAGATGACTTGGTCAGTTATAGACCTATATCCAATCTTCCTTTCTGATCTAAAATTCTTGAGAAAGTAGTTGCCAAACAAGTTTGCGATCACTTCCACCATAATGAACTTTTTGAAGAGTTTCAGTCTGGCTTTAGAGCTCATCATAGCACTGAAACAGCTCTGGTGAAAGTCACTAATGATATTCTCATGGCCTCAGATAATGGACTTGTATCTGTGCTCGTCCTGTTGGATCTCAGTGCTGCATTTGATCCAGTTGATCATAATATTCTTTTAGAAAGACTTGAAGATTTAGTTGGAATTAAAGGAACAGCTCTAGACTGGTTTAAATCTTATCTATCTGATCGATTTCAGTTTGTTCATGTTAATGATAGATCTTCCTCATGCTCAAAGGTTACCTGTGGAGTACCACAGGGATCAGTGCTAGGACCAATTCTCTTTACTTTATACATGCTCCTAATTGGTAGAGTTATTAGACAGCATGGGATTAATTTCCACTGTTATGCTGATGATACCCAGCTATATCTGTCTATAATCCAGATGAAGCTAACTCATTACATAGATTACAGGCATGTCTGAAGACATAAAAACCTGGATGACTCTTAACTTTCTGCTTCTGAATGCAGATAAAACAGAAGTTATAGTCTTTGGACCAGAGTCTCTGAAAAAGAAGCTGATTAGTCAGTCACTTCATTTGGATGGGATTAAACTGATTTCAGATAATAAAGTAAAAAATCTTGGTGTTATTTTTGATCAGGACCTGTCATTTAAATCCCAGATCAAAGAGGTTTCTAGAATTTCCTTCTTTCATCTGAGGAATATTGCAAAAATGAGAAATCTCCTGTCCAGGGGTGATGCTGAGAAACTAGTCCATGCATTTGTTACTTCAAGGCTGGACTATTGTAATTCTTTACTATCAGGAAGTCCACAAACTGTAGTTAAAAGCCTTCAGCTGATCCAAAATGCTGCAGCCAGAGTTCTGATGAAAATGAAAAAGAGAGATCATATCTCTCCTATCCTGGCTTCTCTTCATTGGCTTCCTGTTAAATCCAGAATAGAATTTAAAATCCTCCTTCTCACATATAAAGCCTTAAATGGCCAAGCTCAATCTGATATCAGAGATCTGATTGTTCCTTATGTTCCTAACAGAGCACTTCGCTCTCAATCTGCAGGTTTACTAGTGGTTCCTAGAACTTCTAAAAGTAGAATGGGAGGCAGATCTTTTAGTTATCAGGCTCCTCTCCTGTGGAACCAACTACCAGTTTTAGTCCGTGAGGCAGACACCCTGTCTACTTTTAAGGCTAGGCTTAAAACTTTCCTTTTTGATAAAGCTTCTAGTTAGAGTGGCTCAGGTTATCCTGATCTATCTCTATAGTTCTGCTGCTATAGGCTTAGACTGCTGGAGGACATAGGGACCCCTTTTTCATCATTCTGCTTCATTCTCTCTCTATTCTCCCACTCTGCAGAATCTGTTAGTTCAATCTCTAACGTTCTGCTCTCTCTGCTTTTTCTCATAGTAGCTTCATCTGGTCTGTTCCTGTTTGGCTGTGACTCCATCCTGGAGAGAAATATCAGCTGTGCTGCTGCCATCAACACCTTTGTTTCTAGATGTTGGAGCTTGGCCTGTTTTCCAGTGTAGTCCTGTTTCTCTGACTGTGACTAACTGGATGTGCTCTCTTCATCCTCTGACATGGGAGCTGGCTCGGAGCTCGTCTGCCTGGCTGTGTGTTTCCTGGACGGGGCCGCCTGTGGAGCTGGTTGACAGTTGCCTTTTGTATCTATGCTTCTTTTTCTATGTCTGCTTCTGTCTCCTTGAACCCCAGTGGGCCTCAGCAGATGGCCGCTCACACTGAGCCTGGTTCTGCTGGAGGTTTCTTCCTGTTCAAAGGGAGATTTTCCTCTCCACTGTCGCTACAAGCATGCTTAGTGTGAGGGATTGCTGAAGAGTCAATGAGTCGATGCAATCAGCTGGTTTTCCTTAGATAGAAAACTTTGAATCAATCTGACTGGATGATCTGGTGAACTGGAAAGTGACCTGAGATGACATGATGTGAATTGGAGCTATAGAAATAAACTGAATAGAATTAAACTGGTTCCTCTCCACTGTTCTACGTTCTCTCTCTGTGTGGGTCGTGGTTCTGACTGTGGTCCTGGTTCCCCAGATATGGACCTGTAGCTCTGATAGATGTCAGAGACTCGGGTTCTGTTTATAATCAGATCAGACAGGTTCTATGCAGGTGCTTGGTTCCTGGTGTGGCTGATGTTCTGCCTCAGTAGAACCGGATCCTGGACCGGTACCAGAGTTGGCAGGCAGTTCCTGCCGCTGGTGTCCTGCTCAGTGGTAGTGCAGTGGTGCTCTGAGGAGGGAGAAGGAGAGGAGGGAACGGTTCTGGTGAAAAAATAAAACCCAGGAACTATTCAGAACCGGGTCCCAGAACAGAAGCAGCTGTGAAGCTCCTCTGCAGACTGAAAGTAGGACGAGAACAAACGCAGTGGGAGGGAGTCGCCGAGAGGGAAGGACAGGAAATGAACAAAGAGAAGAAATTGAAGAGCGGAGGAGCTGCGCTGTGTGTGTGTGTGTGTGTGTGTTGGCTCTTTGAAGATGGAGTCGGCAGAAAAAGCATAGAGATAGTGTGTGTGTGTGTGTGTGTGTGTGTGTGGGGGGTGGGGGGGGTTGCCTGAGGTGAAGCAGCCTGTAATCATCACCTCTCTGTGATGAAAGCAGCCTGTCCCTCATTAACATACGGGGGGGGCAGAAACAAAAGAGGAGTTTAGAAAACTGCAGGGATTAGCCGAGTAAACTGCTGCAGCATCGTCGTTACCATGGTAACCACCAACGCCAGGAAGTTCAGTTGCTCGGAGCAGCACCTGGTTTCTCCTCCTGAGGTTCAGTTCCTCTAAGCTTTCTTGTCTTTCCAAACCATCAGAACCAGGCTGGTTCTGGAGGGTATGGAGATTCTGGGCCGGCCCGGTTCTGAACTGATCCGATCCAGGAATGTGTTTGACTGTGGCTCTTCATGCAGCTGCACCTCAGACCTTCTGTTCCATTAAAGATGGTCCAGATGGAACCCTGCTGATGTGCGGTGGTTCTGCATCCTCACCAACTAAAGGTCCAGTTACTCCAGAGGAACCAGCAGGTAACCCTCAGATGGAGGTTCTGGTCCTGGGAATTCCCTGGATCCGTTCAGGTTCCGTCCTTCAGGATGTTCTCTCCCTTCAAGGTTCTGCCTCTTTTGCTCTTTCTAGAGAAAAAAGGTTCCAGATTCGTTCTGCTGTTCAGATTCCTTCTGTTGTCTCTTCTTCTTCTGCCCACGTTCTGACCTCCACATCGTTCCTTCATCTCTCTTCTCCTCCATTAATTATGGATGAACCTGAAAACATGCAGGATTCCCATGGAGACGTGAACTCCAGGTTCTTTAACCAGAACCTTTCTGGTTAGTTTCCAGCACAGACCCAAACTTTACGGGTTCTGATGGACCTGTAGAACTTACCAGAACAACAACGGGAGGAACTTAGAGAAGAACAGAGAGAAGAGGGAGAGAACCAGAGATCCTGATGTTCTCTGCTGTGAGGTTGAGCTCCCGGTTCTGGAACCGGATCGGTTCGTTCAGCTGCAGAACCGCGGCCCCTGAGGTCAGAGCCGGGTTCTGCCATTACAGGAAGAATGGAACCAGTTTAACCCAGTTTACCACCCCAACTGAGTCCCGTAACATCCCAGTTTGAGGTGTTGAGATGTGTTGCTGTGGATACAGGGCTGTTGCCATGGTAACGTTGCTACAGGCAGCTACAGTTGGACGGTCAGATGGAAAATGCGAAGCGGAGAAATGTGTGAATGAGTTCTGCTGCTCCTGCTGGGCTCAGGCTCACCTGCTCAGGTGGATTTCCATATTTCCCATTTGAGGCGTGGATCATCGATGCCGCTCGCTCAGAGCGCACGCCGTCATGGTCGGGTTCTGCTCAGACCCTTCCTGCTGGATCCACAGAGGAAATCAGGCTGGATGTCTGCTCAGAGACTCTGTGGGTGGATGCTTTTCACAGCGTAGCTCTGATCTCAGGTCAGCGCCGCTTCCGTTCCCCGCCTGCTGCTGCTGCTGCTTCTACGCCGCCATTCCTCCCATAACCGCCTGAACAGCACAGGCAGAACCTGACCTCTGACCCCGACACGCACGCAGGTTCAGCGGCGGTTGGGTCAGAACGTTCCGGCTGCTCAGATCTGTCTGCTCTCTGATCCGACTTTAGCAGAACCATCTGCTGATGACCTTCTTCTTCTTCTTCTCACCTGTTGCAGGTAAAGAGGAGCTGCCATGTTGGCCTCCTCCATCTCCTCATCAGTCCTCCTCCTCCTCCTCCTCCTCCCTCCCTCCCACTCTGCAGACGACTCCGTCCAGCGGGTCCAGCTGGATGGCTCCCCCCTCTCTCACCTGCTGCTGGACCCGGGGGCGGGGCGTCTGTATGTGGGCGGAGTCGACCACCTGTATCAGCTGACGCCTGACCTGGAGGTGGTGTCGGAGGTTAGGACCGGCCCTGAGCTGGACTCCCCGGACTGCCTCCCCCCGATCAATCATCACGACTGCTCCTCAGCCACGCCCACTCATAACCACAACAAGCTGCTGCTAATGGAGCCGGGGCAGGGGGCGGAGCCAGGGAGCCTGATCGTCTGTGGCTCCCTGTTCCAGGGGATCTGTGAGAAGCGGTGAGTCTGTGCTGATTTGTGGTTCAGCGGATGCTGGACTGACCGTCTCATGATGCGTTTCCTGGTTTCTCAACAGGAGTCTGTCCAACGTCTCTCAGCTCATCTACCGGACCTCCAACCCCGTCGACACTCAGTACGTGGCGGCCAATGACCCCCGAGTCTCTACGGTCGGCGTGGTGATAACCGTCCAGAACAAACAGGAAGGGGCTGCGGCCGGCGGCGAGCTGCATCTCATGCTTGTCGGTAGAGGCTACACCAGCAGGGGTCCCGGGGACATCCCACCAATCACCACCCGCCGCCTGCACCCGGTGACTCCGCCCCGCAGAGCCTTCTCCCAGGAGGAGGAGCTTGGAAAACTGGTGGTGGGAAGTTACTCCGAGTACAGCAACCACTTTGTGAAGGCGATCGTCCACGACGATCACGTCTACTTCTTGTTCTCCCGACGGGACATGCGACATAAGAAGGAGTACCGCACGTACGCCTCGCGGCTCTGCACCTCCGACCGCAGCTTCTACTCCTACGTGGAGGTGCCGCTGCTCTGCCGCGAGGGATACAACCTGGCCCAGGGGGCGTGGCTCGGAAACGTCTCTGGTAGACCAGCGCTGTTTGTTGCCATGGCAGCAGGGCAGGCGTCCACGCCTGTAGCGACGAGCCGCTCTGCGCTCTGTATCTATGGGATGACGGAGCTGGACGCCATGATGCGGCGAGCGCAGGAAGTGTGTTACACGAAGGAGGGGCGAGACGACGGAGGGCATGAAGTGGCGTACATCGAGTACTACGTGTCGTCGAAGTGTCTGAAGCTGCCGAAGGTAAAGATGTGAGAACTGGACTGATTTTATTAGCTTACCTGTTTCTAACCGGATCTAAACTGCATAAACCACAATCCCTCTGATGCCCCGTCGATATGACATCATCACATGTGATGAGGTCATAGATGGGTCTCTCATAGTTTCACCTGAATAACAGCAGCAGATGTTTATACTGAACCCATTAAGAGAGGAAGAATTCCTGTTTTTAGAGAGCAGTGCTGCCCCCTATAGGTGTAAACGGGTATCGGCTGTTTTAGGTGAAAAAAAAAGTTCATTAGCAGGAATCATCTGGAGACGACTGGAAACAGCTCAGCAGAGCAGGAGCATTCTGACAATCACATAGAAAAAGCAAAGCATTTAGGGCAGAAACTAATGATTATTTTGCAAATCGATTAATTGATAAATAATCGCACAGTCAAAGGCTCCTTAAAAAAGTTTTTTCACAAAATGAAACCAGGTGCAACTAAAACTTTTCCACTTGACGAGTTCTGGATAGAGAATATTAAAGGATGAAAATGTATTTTTTAGTTTCGCCTGGTTTAATTTTGTGAAAAAAAAAACTTCTTTAAGGAACCTTTGGCTACCTGATTATTAAATAATTAATAAAAAAAATTATTGATTTGCAAATAATGGTTAGTTGCAGCAGTTTACGCGTCTCAACCTGTGGATGTTCCAGTGAACACGGTTAGCTTCACTAATCGACGCTCAGCGCAGCAGAAGAAGAAGCAAAATGAAACTTGCTGAAAGTTTAGTCCAGAACGTTTGAGTGAGATACTGTGAGGATGTGATCTGATCAGAACCATGAAGACATCGGTCCTCTAACAGCTCAGGCAGGGAGGTTGGAGGTGTGAGCATCATGGTGAGGGGATGAAAAGGTTGCATCAGACTGATCTGCAACATGTGAGCCATCCTGAAGCTCAGCTGGGGCTGAACCTTTGATCCTCCTGCAGCAGAGAGGAGGGATCATCCGCACGGATCAGCAGGCAGCTGTCAGTCAACCAGCTGCTGGGCAATCTGACCCAAATACAGCCGCCTGCATCTGGCCGGGGGGGGGGGGGGCATTAATGTGTTTGTAAACATCAGGCTCTCTCTCTCCATTCACTCTAAAGGACTCTCTGTCTGAGTACCCCTGTGGGGGGGAACACACCCCCAACCCCATCGCCAGCGCCGTGCCCCTTGGAGTTCCGCCCACCGTCACCCTGGAGACCCAGCTGACTTCTGTTACCACAGCAACGGAGGCTGGACTCACCATCGCCTTCCTCGGAGATCGAGAGGGACGTCTGCACAAGGTGACCCCCCCCACCCCACACACACCCCCACCACACACGTTCAGGTAGTTCCCAGGTGGAACGTTGAGTCGAGACATTTCTGAACACATGGGGGCGCTGTAGCTCAGGCAAACTGATTAAAAGGTTGATGGCCGTTTCTCAATTCACTAGAACGTGAATACGGACTTGTGTTCTCACCAAGTCCGTTCTTGAGAAGAACCCAGTAAAGTCTGGACTCTGGGAGAACGGGAGCACGCAGAATAGATCTGGGTCAATTAGAACAGCAGCGTACTGATGACATCAACACATTCATAGCTCGCCTGGAGCTGCATTTCACCTCCTGTTATTAATAGTCTCTAAATAATAGCTGACCGCATCACGGGCTAACATTAACCCTGGCTGCTATAACGTACATTTCTTATTTAGAGGAGGAAAGCGGGGACGAAGATGTTGTGGAAGAGGACGCCAGGGCGGCAGAAGCTTGGTTTGGTGTAGAAGGCTTCCAGCCGTACATGTTTTTTTTTAGTTTTTACGGCTCTAGCGGCTCGTTTTTCTGACAGTAGGCTGACAGGAAAGGGTGTATGAGAGAGGGGGATGAGATGAGCATGCGGCACAGGACCACAGGTCGGAATCGAACCCAGGTCGGTCGCTTCGAGGACTAAGGCCTCCTGCCGAAGACACAGACGTCCATCCCCGTGAACACTGGGACGGAACTCAATGGGAAAGGAAAGGATTCTGATTCCAACCGTTGCGTATATTAGCTGCGACACATGAATCAAGATGCTATGACTTAAAAAATTTGATTGACAGATGACCGTTGATATATGATTGGCCGAATTTAGGTGTTCAGGCTGACGTAGAACTAACTGGCCTGCAGAAGATAACGTGAAAAAAACAGATTTTAAGACAGGATTCTTTTAAAAATAGAAATTTTCAAAATTTTGGGATGATATAGTCTGATGAAGAGAACATTTATATACATGTTTAAGATAGAATTATTTGACATTTAAATATGATTCCCTACGACTTTAAGGTTGGTTTTTCTTTCCTGACATAGATGGCTTCCTTCCTCTCAAACCACCTGTCTTCTTTGTCCAAAATGTGAACATTCTGGTCCTCCAAAGAATGTCCGTCCATCAGGTGTAGGTGTAGCGCAGAGTCTTCTCCAGAGGAGGGCGCTCTCCTGTGTTGGGCCATGCGTCTGTGGAGAGGTTGTTTGGTTTCTACAATATAAAGATCAGAGCATTCCTCACTGCATTGACCTGCAGACACTCTGCTCAGATTGGGGGGGTTGGTCTTCAGGATGAACTAGTCTCTGTTTAAGGGTCTGTTTGGTCTTAAATGTTCTGGGAATTTGTGTTTGGAGAAAATCCACTTTAGTTTCTATTTGGTTGTTCTAAACTAAAACCAGGCTTTGTTGGGCTGCTGGATAAAGCCTGGAACTAAACGCTATTTCTGACATTTTGAATTGAAAAAGCTTCCTGGATGGAAGAGAAACGTCTTCAGACTTGGAAACAAAGTCCAGAGGATTGATTATTTTTTAACTTTTTTGGAACAACTATGACCTGTATAACTGAGAATCAGCACCAGCATTTGCCGATGGTCCTGCTGATGTTTTTACTTTCTACATTGCATGTGGGCATGTATGTGTTTTAAACCACTGTTGAACAAATCTACCTGCGGGTAGAAATGAAAGACCTAGAAAAATCATTTCCAGTAAAGTTGAAGAGTTAACGCCTGTTCTAGCTTGAAGGCATGCTAATGACGTGGTGCTATGGTGGCCCCTGCCTTTACCTGCTTCATATTATTCTGCCTCTTGATTAAATATTTAAATTGTTTTTTCCTCTGCGGTTCGGTTTATTTCGCCGATGGGGGAAATGTTTTTGTTTTGAATCGAGTCCCTGACTTTGCAGCATTCGCTCCTCCTGAGCGAGCGCTGAGGAACAATATAAAAGAACTGGGAGGGAGCATTGGGGGCCCCTGGGGGCGCCCAGCTATTGTCTCCACTGTGTTTGTGTTGGTGGGAGGGGAGGGGGCCAAGCAGGGGCCAGTTGGGGAGCTGCTGGGGCTCCTTTGTTCCTGCCTATGAGCCCGTACTGGTCGAGGTGTGAGGACGGCCTCGGGGGTTCAGCGGTGCCGCAGGTGTGTGTTGCGGGGGGGGTGGGGCTTCAACTCTAGTACATTTTGACCTTTGGCCCCTGGGACCCCTTCTTTTGAACACCTGGCAGCTCACCAGGTATGTTTGGTGTCAATGTAAACGTCTGCAGAGGCGCCTAGATTCAACATTTGGGTTAATAAATGATGATTCTGCTTCCTGTTCTTCATCTATTAGAATAAAAGTTACTATTAGAAGTTAGTATTTGGAAGAGCTTTAAGGAAACAGCAACATTCAAATACTTTTAATTCTGACTTTATGGGATTATGACTTAAAAAAAGAGTAAAGAGGAGATGGAAACAATCCAATAAGTTCTGATCTAGTGTTTTATTTTACATGCCTGATCAGCTGTTTCTGCTGCCGGAAATGAAAACACTCTGCAGCAACGGATCACAGCATCCAGTGACGGTCAACTCAGTTCACGCTGCAACACGTTGATTAAAACCATCACTGATCTGTGGCCAGCGCTAGCTGCTAACCGCTAACTCTAATTGACGTTTTTCGTAGAAGCTCCTTTAACCTGTTGACCCCGGGGGGCCCGGTACGGGGCCCTACTGACCCCTGCTCATGTTTATCTATTCATCGAAATGCACAAAACGGTCACATGGTGTTTCATCCACACGCCCTTAAAAGGAGGCTTTAAAATTTCTAAAACATGTTTCAAAAGTGTAGTTTAAACAAATAAAATGAGATTTAAAATTCCACCTGACATGTTCATTCTTAGCCCCGCCCCCTAATGGCCGCCATCATTGGAAACTGAAACTAGAGGCTCAGACCTTTCCAAGGAGGGGTCAGAGGTCATTGTGCGATCGTTTCAGGTGATGTAAGCAGCATGCGTTCCATAAGCTGCTCTGTTATTCTTATTTTCTATTCAGTTTGTTGATATTATTGGTAAATTTCAATGAAACAACTAAATCTTAGAAGCAAAAGCTTTGCCTCATGCAGAAGGTCTCCAAAAATGTAAATCAGCATATTTGTCTGACCAGATTCACTTTTATGTGCGGAAAAATGCATTTTCGCACTTTTGGCACCTGAAAAATATACTTCAATGCCTTTCTGTTATAAAAATACTAACAGTTGTATTACCGATGTATAGTTTGGGAGCTGAACTTGCTTTAATTCACATATATAACTTCATTTGCTCCTAAAACCCTCAGAGCTTTAGGAGTTAAGCTTGCAGCGGGGTTGGATGGCGGTCAGCGGCCGCTCTTAGAAGGTCAGCGTAACTATAGAGCAGTGGGTGAAATCAGCTGAGAGAGAAAAGAGGTCAGTTGGTCTTCCAGCAGCTGTAACCTAAAGCAGCATAACTACAGATTTCTTTGGGCTGCTTATCATCCGCTTCCCTCCACTGTTTGGATCAGAACCAGCATGTTGCTATGACCCTGCAGAACTTTGTGCAGATCTCGCGAGCTTTCAAGGTTTCACTCGCAGATCAGTCTGGAGACTCTCCGTTAAAGAAAATCTGGAGCCGTTCACCAAACGAACATCCAATCAGCGTTGGCTTTGAGGCGGGTTGAGGTGTGACGCAACGAGAAGCGCGACAGTTCAGTCTAAAGAACATGGCGGCTTCAGCCGATGAAACTAGCGTTAGCGTGGCTATCGAGCAAGTTTTATGGGAATTACAGAGTATTTCTTCACTGAAAGAAGAGCAAAACACTGCTCTGGAGGCTTTTCTCAGAGGAAAAGATGTTTTTGCTCTTCTCCCCACTGGTTTCAGCAAGAGTTTGATCTATCAATTGGCTCCTCTTCGTCGTCGCTCTGTTAGTACGTCATATGCTTGGTTGATCTGATTGGTTTATTTGGCCCGTCTATCACCAACATAGGCCAATCAGCTAACCAGTATTTTGGCCCCTTCCCAAAATTACTTCAACGGAAGGTTTCCAGATGGATATGCGGAGCAAATCCATCTGGTGGAGTCAGGTTAGAACCCATCTGTGCTTGATAGTGTTCTTGCTTCATGTAGGTTAGATCAGCAGATCCATCACAGGAGAACATCAGAACCACATGAGGTAAAACTACTGACATCATCAATGAGAAGCTTGTTTTTTTCCAGGACTTCCTGCAAAGGTTTGCGTACTTAACATGGTTCTGTGGGCCTTTGGATCAGTGGTTTGGTTTAGTTCAGATCCTAATGAGGATGGAACCAGGCTGAAGGTTTTCCAGGGATTCATGGGGATCCAATCATCTCAGATCGGTTCTGTCTGTCTGAGCAGAACTTTGATATCAGATCCTGGAGGTCCAAAAGAATCAACCTTCATATAAACCTTCCTTAGACACACACACACACACACACACCATGTATTATTGATGAGGAGCTGCAGGCCCCTCGGTGTGGCTGTGTGTGTGTGTACCTGTCTAGCTCTCATTTTTCCAATTTAAGTGCTGAACAGGTGTTCAGCTCGGGGGTTTGCTGAAACTTAACTTGCTGATTGGTAATTTTGGTCCCAGGTGGATTGTGGGTAATGATTAAGCATGAAGACCCTGAAGTGTAATCTAGTGTAGTGAAGTGCTTTGATTCTCCGTGTTAATATTTAATCACTCATCTTTTTATTCCAACCTTGATAGGCGTTTGTATTGATTGCTGTTTATTTTAGAAACAGCAATTCTACCCGACCCTGAACGTGACCCTGACCCGGGTCTGAACCTAAGCCTGACCCCCCCCCCCCCCCCCCCCCCCCCCCCGTACCTCTAGTGCTACGTTCAGACGTAAAGCAGCAGGAGCAGTAGAAACTAGGGTTGTCACGATACTAAACTTTTCAACTCGATACCGATACTAAGGAAAATATTCGATACTCGATACCATTTTCGATACCACAAGGATAAAATTTCAACAGAAATATTTTGATTAATAATTAAAATACAATAA